GAGAGAAGAGACAGAGAGAGAGAGAGACAGAGAGAGAGAGACAGAGAGAGAGAGAGACAGAGACAGAGACAGAGACAGAGACAGAGAGAGAGAGAGAGAGAGACAGAGAGAGAGAGACAGAGACAGAGAGAGAGAACAGAGAGAGAGACAGAGAGAGAGAGAGAGAGAGAGAAGGAACAGAGAGAGACAGAGAGAGAGAGAGAGAGAGACAGAGAGAGAGACAGAGACAGAGAGAGACACAGAGAGAGAGACACAGAGAGAGAGAACAGAGAGAGAGACAGAGAGAGAGAGAGAGAGAGAGAGAGAGAGAGAGACAGAGAGAGAGAGAGAGAGACAGAGAGAGAGACAGACAGAGAGAGAGACAGAGAGAGAGAGAGAGAGAGAGAGACAGAGAGAGAGAGAGACAGAGAGAGACAGAGAGAGAGAGAGAGAGAGAGAGAGACAAGAGAGAGCAGACAGAGACAGAGAGAGAGAGAGAGACAGAGAGAGAGACAGAGAGAGAGAGAGAGAGACAGAGAGAGACAGAGACAGAGAGAGAGAGAGAGAGACAGAGAGAGAGAGACAGAGACAGAGAGAGAGAGAAAGAGAGAGAGAGAGAGAACAGAGAGAGAGAGAGAGAGAGAGAGAGAGAGAGAGAGAGAGAGAGACAGAGAGAGAGAGAGAGAGACAGAGAGAGAGAGACAGAGAGAGCACAGAGAGAGAGACAGAGAGAGAGAGACAGAGAGAGAGAGAGAGAGAGAAGAGAGAGAGAGAGACAGAGAGAGACAGAGACAGAGAGAGAGACAGAGAGAGAGAGACAGAGAGAGAGAGAGACAGAGAGAGAGAGACAGAGAGAGAGAGAGAGAGAGACAGAGAGAGAGAGAGAGAGAGAGTCTGAGGTCAGAAACTCAATGTTGTTCTTTTTTCAGAAGAAGACGACAGAAAAGTGAAGAAGAAGAAGAAGGAGGAAGAGGAGGATGATGAAGAGGACGTCCTGGACCGGCAGAAGTGTCGGGCTGCGCTGGCGTCGCTCCGACACGCTAAATGGTTCCAGGTGAGCACAGCTGGCGATGACACGAACACCTTTAATATCCCTCACTCTGTCATAAATGATTAAAGATAAAGGTGCAGCGGGCGACATGTTTGGAAACATTAATGAAGACGAGCGGCTGTGTCTCCAGTTTCATCCAATCACAGTCATCCAGGTGTTCAAACATCCTGAGTCACCTCTACGGCCCGGTGTCCACCTCATGTTTCTTTACGGGCAGAACGGCGCTGGCTGTGCACTCTGGAACGATGGTGCTCAGTCGTCCTGTCTCCATGACAACAGTCAGTTGACAACGACCGCCGTATGACTGACCCTGCTCCGTCGCTTACTGTACAGCTGCTTTCACACACGCACTCCTGAACATATCCAGATGATTCCAGGAGGACGGATCCAGATATGATCACATGCACCTCACAGCGGGAGACTATCTCTGTCAGACAGGAGGGGGCGGGGCCTCCTGAGGTAAGACGTGACAAATACATCGAGGATGTAGCGGAGAGATTATCAGAGTCCTCCATAGGACTCTATGATGAGAATATGTGTCTTTGTATCAGTGCTGCGTGTAGTTGAAGAGAATCTCAATGTGAACTAAAGAGAGGAGAAGAACATCCTGGAGAACAGGAAACATGCAGCAGCAGGTTGATTAGAGCACGGAGATGGTAGAGGTGGCGTGCAGACAGTCTATGGTCGTGCAGCCATCACAGGGAATAAAGGTCACCACCCCCTCCCACTGGCCCCTCCCACTGGCCCCTCCCACTGGCTCCAGGTGAATTCTCCTGATTATATCCTGCTGTGTTCTCACATCAGCTCACTCTGACTTTCTGCAGGATAAACACGAGGAGGCTGGAGGAGAAACTCCGGGTGGAGAGAGAAAGCAGCTAAATGTTTCATATTTGAGATTTTTTGTTCTCTTCACTGTGAGCGTCAAACGGAGGACGCTCGCCCTCCTACTTTGTCTGGACTCAACACGAGGAGGATGAGAGTACAGGACACGACCCGCTGGAGACAAAAATACGAGGAATATTTTGGTGACATCACCAGCGTCGTTAAGAGATCTTAATGTGGGGACAATAAAGATATCTTTGACCTTTGACCTTTAGACATTTACATGAGAGCCTCTTAAGCCTTCAAAAGGGATAAAAAAAGAAACATTTTCTGCATAAATATAGAAAGAAAAACATAAACTACCAGAGAGGAGAACAAGATGGAGTCTGTCTGTGCAGCTCGAAGACAGTACAGAGGGAGCTCTGAAGGTCACGTGGACGTTGTTGAAGGTCACGTGGACGTTGTTGAAGGTCACGTGGACGTTGTTGAAGGTCACGTGGACGTTGTTGAAGGTCACGTGGACGTTGTTGAAGGTCACGTGGACGTTGTTGAACTCGTCAGGTTGGAGCTGTGAGTCTGAGCTCGGAGCTGTCCTCCTCTGCGGAGTGAAGGTGAAGCAGCGAGCGTCTCCCCTCTGGGAAGGAGAGCTGAATGTAAAGTATTTGAGAGGAGAGTGAAGCTCTGCAGAGAGGATTCATCACACTCAGAAACGACCTGCAGCCCTCCACCTCCTCTCTCATATCTGAAGATACAATTAGTGACGTTCTTCTTCATCCACCGTCCATAAAAACAAACGTCCATCTTTATTCTTCATGAGCTTATCTTCTGTTCTTCTTCTCACAGCAGCTCTGTGAGGTTTGTTTTCTTAGTTTTTTAAAGATATAAACTGTTTTTATGTTCCTTTCCAGCAAGTGTGCTGCAGATTTAGCCGCCATAAGTAAACAATCAGCGACATATCGGCTGCGTTCTCGCTCTGTTTGGTCCAGTAGGCTGATCGCGGGGTCACAGCTAAACCCAGAATCCCTGAACAGCAGACAGGTACAGAGGATGTGACTCCTCCCACCCTGTAAACGTTGACCTTAAGCTCCTCCCCTCAGGAAGTCGGTATAGAGTCAAACTAAGAGAAACAAGAACAGACCAACAGGGTGACTCGTGCACAGCCGATACGCTCTCAGCTGCGCACAGGTTGCAGGAACAAGCCGTGAAACATAAATCAAAAATGTGTGGTCCAATGAAAATCATTTAGTGTCTGTGCTGCACGGCCCGTTCCCTCCTCTGAGCTGCACGTAGACGTGGACGTAGGAAGAGGGTCGATGTTGACGTCTCAGAAATAACAAAAACATCCTCAGTTAGCAGGATGGACTCAGTCTGCGAGTGGTTGCCATGGTTACTACTTTTTTCTTAGAAGCAAATAACAAAGTATGTGCATACTGCCCCCTGCTGTATCAGACTGTGAACATACACAGGTGTACTCAGGTACAGAACGATGTTACTGATGTGAACGCAGACCAGCGGGGGAGGGGGGAATCATTCTGTATCTGAAGTTGGAATCAACATTTTAATAGATATTTGATAGATTAATAGTGTTTGTTTACATTAAGCTCCACCTGTTTAAAGGTTCAACTTAATAAGCAGATAAAGATGAATAGAACGTTTTCCCCTCGCTGACGCTGGTATGAGCAGCATGTTGACAGTTCAGGGGTCCTGAGAAAGAGCTGATATGTCAGAGTGTGTAGAGTGTCACGAGCACACTCTGCTCTGTCAGACTCCTGTCAGGTTCATATTCTCCTCTTTGTCTGCGTCTCCCCTCAGGCCAGAGTCACAGATCTCAAATCCTGCGTCATCGTCCTGAGGATTCTCAGAGACATGTGCAACAGACAGGCGGGGTGGAGGCCGCTCAAAGGATGGGTAAGAGACAGCTGCACAATCATAAGAACCAGAAACATTTAGTTTAAAGATATGAAGCTTTTCTCACCTGGTGTGTATGTGTCGTCCTCTGCAGCCTCTGGAGCTGATCTGTGAAAAAGCCATCGCCACCTGTAACCGGCCGTTGGGTCCAGGTGAGGCCCTGCGGCGAGTCATGGAGTGCATCGCCTCGGGGATTCTGCTGCCAGGTCAGTGCTCGAGATCACACACAGAGTCCAGGGTTACAGCATGAGGAAACTGAGGCGACCTGCCGAGATAGAGAAAAGTTAGGAGGCAATTCATAGAAAGAAAACAGTCTGCTACACTGAAACATTTTCAATGTTATCTTTGTTTATTTATCAGAATCAAAATCAGCTTTATGGCAAGGCATGCTCAAAGAAAATAGGTTTAAACTGTTTTCCTGTGTGACTATATCGTGTTCATTAAAGTCTAGAACGGTCAGTTTCTGTGCAGCTCTTTTAGTCCCGTCTGTCTACAGGACGCTCGTCGAGCTCTCAGCTCTCAAGTTGTGTAGTAGACTCCAACACAAGTCGTGCTGCCCACTGACTCTGTTCGATGTGCAGGACTCAGCGGGGGGTCTCACAGCTCGGTCAGACCCTCAGAGAGCTTAACATCCTGCAGACTGCAGGACAGGGTTTATGTTTCACATCATTAAAGCAGAGAGAGGAGGAGACACAGCTGATACAAACACAGCCGCTCAACATGTCGTTCAGTAAGTGTTTAAAAGCTTTAACTGTTTGTTCTCTAACATGGTCAGTTTCAGAGGAGGAAGGAGTTCAAATAAATCCTTAAAGGAGTCTGTTTTTAATTGTTGTTATGTTCTCCTGAAGGCAGCATGTGGTGTCCCCTTAGCTTAGACATCATTTTTAGATGACATTTTTTCTGTCTGAAGTTAAAGAATCTGAAGCTGCTGTGGCTCAACGTCTGCAAAAGTCTGGTAGTCTGGTAATGAGAGCCTGTGCTTAGAAGACAGCCCAATGAAGTGACACATTTTTAAAGCAGATTTTGGTTAAAAATAAATCTGAAGTTTCTTAACAGCTTTGTTACTTTTCTGTTCTGTCGATCTTTACAAAACAATTTGTGTTAAAAAGTGTCTCAGTGTTGAACCTTTAGCCGACCTCAACGAGGAGAAACATGAATAAAGGAGTTCGAGGACTGCTCCGGGGTTCAGCTGTTTTCTTAAAGGTTAATGCTCTTCAGACTGCAGAGTGTCGACACCAGCTCAGTCTCTGAGTACTCAAAGCTGCATTAATGATTCAGAGATAAGCTGCAGACTCCCTCCAGGCTCCCGGGGAGCGTCCCAACATGAACACTTTAAAATCACGATGACTCGCATTTCATTTTGTAAAAGTCAGACGTGGACTTTTTCCAGAATGAGTGTTTCTTCTCAGAGGGTTTCTTTGTGTTTCCCTGAATGAGAAATGTTTCAGCTGTACTAAAGATAGATGTGTTTACAGATGTGTTTACAGATGTGTTTACAGATGTGTTTACAGATGTGTTTACAGATCCTCCGTTCTCTCTGTTTTTCTATTATGCGATCGACCTTCAGCTCTCATGTTGGATGCGTGCACAGCGGCTCTTTGTGAGGATGTGATTGGGTTTTAAAAAGTGGTTAATATTTTCCCTCTGAATTGGCAGCTTGATCCCTGAACGTCTTTGAATCATTGATGAGGCTTCGTTCAGAGCGTTCAGAGCGAGCACATCGTTCAGAGCGTTCAGAGCGTTCACAGCGTTCAGAGCGTTCAGAGCGTTCACATCGTTCAGAGCGTTCAGAGCGAGCACATCGTTCAGAGCGTTCAGAGCAAGCACATCGTTCACAGCGTTCACATCGTTCAGAGCGTTCACAGCGTGCACATCGTTCACAGCGTTCACATCGTTCAGAGCGTTCAGAGCGTGCACATCGTTCACAGCGTTCACAGCGTTCAGAGCGTTCAGAGCGTTCAGAGCGTTCAGAGCGTTCAGAGCGTGCACATCGTTCACAGCGTTCACATCGTTCACAGCGTTCACATCGTTCAGAGCGTTCAGAGCGTTCAGAGCGTTCACAGCGTTCAGAGCGTTCAGAGCGTGCACATCGTTCACAGCGTGCACATCGTTCACAGCGTTCACATCGTTCACAGCGTTCACATCGTTCACAGCGTTCACAGCGTTCAGAGCGTTCAGAGCGTTCAGAGCGTTCACAGCGTTCAGAGCGTTCACAGCGTTCACAGCGTTCACAGCGTTCACAGCGTTCAGAGCGTTCACAGCGTTCAGAGCGTTCAGAGTGTTCAGAGCGAGCACATCGTTCAGAGCGTTCAGAGCGTTCACAGCGTTCACAGCGTGCACAGCGTTCACAGCGTTCAGAGCGTGCACATCGTTCAGAGCGTTCAGAGCGTTCACAGCGTTCAGAGCGTGCACAGCGTTCACAGCGTTCAGAGCGTGCACATCGTTCACAGCGTTCACAGCGTTCACAGCGTGCACAGCGTTCACAGCGTTCAGAGCGTGCACAGCGTTCACAGCGTTCACAGCGTGCACAGCGTTCACAGCGTTCAGAGCGTTCACAGCGTTCACAGCGTTCACAGCGTTCACAGCGTTCACAGCGTTCAGAGCGTTCAGAGCGTTCACAGCGTTCACAGCGTTCAGAGCGTTCAGAGCGTTCACAGCGTTCAGAGCGTTCACAGCGTTCACAGCGTTCACAGCGTTCACAGCGTTCAGAGCGTTCACAGCGTTCAGAGCGTTCACAGCGTTCAGAGCGTTCAGAGCGTTCAGAGCGTTCAGAGCGTGCACATCGTTCACAGCGTTCACATCGTTCACAGCGTTCACATCGTTCAGAGCGTTCAGAGCGTTCAGAGCGTTCACAGCGTTCAGAGCGTTCAGAGCGTGCACATCGTTCACAGCGTTCACATCGTTCACAGCGTTCACATCGTTCACAGCGTTCACATCGTTCAGAGCGTTCAGAGCTGCATTAATGATTCAGAGATAAGCTGCAGACTCCCTCCAGGCTCCCGGGGAGCGTCCCAACATGAACACTTTAAAATCACGATGACTCGCATTTCATTTTGTAAAAGTCAGACGTGGACTTTTTCCAGAATGAGTGTTTCTTCTCAGAGGGTTTCTTTGTGTTTCCCTGAATGAGAAATGTTTCAGCTGTACTAAAGATAGATGTGTTTACAGATGTGTTTACAGATGTGTTTACAGATGTGTTTACAGATGTGTTTACAGATCCTCCGTTCTCTCTGTTTTTCTATTATGCGATCGACCTTCAGCTCTCATGTTGGATGCGTGCACAGCGGCTCTTTGTGAGGATGTGATTGGGTTTTAAAAAGTGGTTAATATTTTCCCTCTGAATTGGCAGCTTGATCCCTGAACGTCTTTGAATCATTGATGAGGCTTCGTTCAGAGCGTTCAGAGCGAGCACATCGTTCAGAGCGTTCAGAGCGTTCACAGCGTTCAGAGCGTTCAGAGCGTTCACATCGTTCAGAGCGTTCAGAGCGAGCACATCGTTCAGAGCGTTCAGAGCGAGCACATCGTTCACAGCGTTCACATCGTTCAGAGCGTTCACAGCGTGCACATCGTTCACAGCGTTCACATCGTTCAGAGCGTTCAGAGCGTGCACATCGTTCACAGCGTTCACAGCGTTCAGAGCGTTCAGAGCGTTCAGAGCGTTCAGAGCGTTCAGAGCGTGCACATCGTTCACAGCGTTCACATCGTTCACAGCGTTCACATCGTTCAGAGCGTTCAGAGCGTTCAGAGCGTTCACAGCGTTCAGAGCGTTCAGAGCGTGCACATCGTTCACAGCGTGCACATCGTTCACAGCGTTCACATCGTTCACAGCGTTCACATCGTTCACAGCGTTCACAGCGTTCAGAGCGTTCAGAGCGTTCAGAGCGTTCACAGCGTTCAGAGCGTTCACAGCGTTCACAGCGTTCACAGCGTTCACAGCGTTCAGAGCGTTCACAGCGTTCAGAGCGTTCAGAGTGTTCAGAGCGAGCACATCGTTCAGAGCGTTCAGAGCGTTCACAGCGTTCACAGCGTGCACAGCGTTCACAGCGTTCAGAGCGTGCACATCGTTCAGAGCGTTCAGAGCGTTCACAGCGTTCAGAGCGTGCACAGCGTTCACAGCGTTCAGAGCGTGCACATCGTTCACAGCGTTCACAGCGTTCACAGCGTGCACAGCGTTCACAGCGTTCAGAGCGTGCACAGCGTTCACAGCGTTCACAGCGTGCACAGCGTTCACAGCGTTCAGAGCGTTCACAGCGTTCACAGCGTTCACAGCGTTCACAGCGTTCACAGCGTTCAGAGCGTTCAGAGCGTTCACAGCGTTCACATCGTTCAGAGCGTTCAGAGCGTTCACAGCGTTCAGAGCGTTCAGAGCGTTCAGAGCGTTCACAGCGTTCAGAGCGTTCACAGCGTTCACAGCGTTCACAGCGTTCACAGCGTTCAGAGCGTTCACAGCGTTCAGAGCGTTCACAGCGTTCAGAGCGTTCAGAGCGTTCAGAGCGTTCAGAGCGTGCACATCGTTCACAGCGTTCACATCGTTCACAGCGTTCACATCGTTCAGAGCGTTCAGAGCGTTCAGAGCGTTCACAGCGTTCAGAGCGTTCAGAGCGTGCACATCGTTCACAGCGTTCACATCGTTCACAGCGTTCACATCGTTCACAGCGTTCACATCGTTCAGAGCGTTCAGAGCGTTCAGAGCGTTCAGAGCGTTCAGAGCGTTCACAGCGTTCAGAGCGTTCACAGCGTTCACAGCGTTCACAGCGTTCACAGCGTTCACAGCGTTCACAGCGTTCAGAGCGTTCAGAGCGTTCAGAGCGAGCACATCGTTCAGAGCGTTCAGAGCGTTCACAGCGTTCACAGCGTGCACAGCGTTCACAGCGTTCAGAGCGTGCACATCGTTCAGAGCGTTCAGAGCGTTCACAGCGTTCAGAGCGTGCACAGCGTTCACAGCGTTCAGAGCGTGCACATCGTTCACAGCGTTCACAGCGTTCACAGCGTGCACAGCGTTCACAGCGTTCAGAGCGTGCACAGCGTTCACAGCGTTCACAGCGTGCACAGCGTTCACAGCGTTCAGAGCGTTCACATCGTTCAGAGCGTTCAGAGCGTTCACAGCGTTCACAGCGTTCACAGCGTTCACATCGTTCACAGCGTTCACAGCGTTCACATCGTTCAGAGCGTTCAGAGCGTTC